GAGAACTTTTGTATGGGATTGTGTATCTAGGTTTTTATTAGTGATCGATGATCCAAATATATATCTTAATAATCTTGAAAGGCAGAGGCATATATTATATCATATATGCCAAAAATACTACCACAAAATGTGCGTATATTGATTTGCAATAATTTTGTCAGAATAGATTAAGAAATTTAGAGTCATTTTCAGCTGCGGCAAATGTTTACTATGCTACAAAGGATTTTCGGGGGATTACTGCCAATACGATGATACAGCTTGCCCAAGTCCTGGCGGAAAGCTTTGTGCCGATAGAGGTGTGTGTCGGTACGGGAAATGTGAGTGTGACTCAAAGAGTACCGGCGTCGGCTGTGAATGCCCTATTGATAATAATAGTTGTTTTGCTCCGCACTCGAAAGAAGTATGTTGTGTTTTCTATAATATATTCTGCACTTTTATAACTTCTTAAAATAAAACATTTCTCTAATATAATCTATGGTATTTATATATATATATTTATATTATACTAGCTGTTCCCCGCGACTTCGCCCGCGTGTTATTTGGGGTTTTAATTTTTTCTTCGCGGGACCATAATTCTTTTTCTAAAATAAAAGAAGCCTAAGTTACCCCTTGTGACATCAGCTATCTGCCAGTGAAAATCCCGTAAAAATCGGTTCAGCCGTTTCGGAGATTAGCTGGAACAAACAGACCGACAGACGGACAGACAGACAGACAGATAAAAACTTTAAAAATTGTATTTTTCTTATTATTAGTGTCGTATATACTTTCATATGCATTTAGTAAAAAGCTGTAATTTTGACACATTTGTACACAAATAATAAAATTGAAGTCTCCGTTTGTAATTACAAAATAACAGCTTTTTACTAAATGAATAAGGAAGCATATACGGTACTCATAACAAAAAAAAATTAAAAAAATTCTGCCTATCTGTTTGTTTGTTCCGGCTAATCTCCGAAACGGCTGGACGGCTTTTGACGGGACTTTCACTAGCAGATAGTTGATGTAATAAGAAGTAACTTAGGATACTTTTATTTTAGAGAAGAATTAGGGCTCCGCGCCAAAAATTAATAACCATAAAATCCAATCGTAATAAATTCCACGTGGACGAAGTCGCAGGAACAACCAGTAATAAACAAATTTAGGCGTTACTTTGCGGAAATACATTAAAGATGTCTATTTACTTTTAACACATAGCAATAAATATGTTGTTCTCAGATTTGCTCGGGAAACGGTAAATGCGAATGTGGTGAATGTATCTGTCTACCAATGGAGTCGTCAAATCGAACGTGTTCTGGACGCTTTTGTGACAGCTGCGACGAATTTGCTGAGAAGCGATGTTTAGAGCTCGAAAATTACGCAGAATGCAATTACTTATACAACAAAATCTATTGTGATGAATCGTATAATCAAACTTCTTTGACTGAAGTCAAAATAGTTACTAAGTTGGATAATACGCTGCCTGATCACCAAATGGCAAAATGGTGCAAAAAGCAATTCGGAAATGGAACCGCACTTGTTTTTAAATACCTGTACCCACTTTCATCGCCCAATATATTGCATGTAATAATTCAAGAAAAATTGGAGCAACCGCCCGAAGTGAATTTATTTAGTACGTACATATATATGATCTCTTTTACAGCTAATACGTCCCACGGCTGGACAATGGCCACCGATACTTAGAGACGCACTGCACATAATGTCTTTGAAATATTACATTTTATTAAAAACGGAGCACATGTTAAATCAGTACCTACATAAAATGACAACAATTTTATTTGTGCCGGCACTAACTGAACCGCGGATTTTTATCTAGATTTTTTTTTAAAACTGCATCTGCTAGTCTCATAAAGTAACTATACTAATTTCATATTGTTCTAAAGTATTTTACCTATAATTATACTCTAATACAAAAAGAGTGAGTTGATTGAAAAGGTAACAAAGGCTGTTCATCTTAATGCTAAGTTTAAGAAATTGTAAATAATGTTATTTGATTTGTAAGTTGCTTCTGAAGATATTCCTTTTGGAAGAATGTACGAGTAGTAGCAATTCAAAATTCAAAAGAAAACATTTGAATGATGGTATAATTCTTTAAACTTCTGCTTCGTTTTCATTTATTGTGTAATTAGTTATAAAACTTATTACGGTAAAACTAATTACAAAATAATTATAATTTTTGTAAAATAACGTAATTATTCATATTTTTTATTTAAGTAATTTTATATAATTACCGATTTATGGTAATAACATTTTGAGAAATTAATACAAACCAATTTTAGCACCATAATCAGATGAGAACTAAAGCATTTCTAGCCGAGTGCCTATTAAAAATTGTCGTTCTGCAGATATTACATACAGTTTGATATAATATGCCTGCTGTTCAGTCTTTGTTAACTCACCATCCCAATTACAATTCCTTACAACTAACACACAATTCAACACAGGCACAGATAATGAGAAGCATGTTCAATACTGATCTAGTAGATTTACATCATCATCCTTATCTTTATACCCAACACAAGTTCACTGCTCAAGAAAGGTCTCCCAGTAGATTACCATAAAGCATGGTCGTGGCGTTGCGTTTGCCAGTACTTTGCTGCCACTGGAGAACTTATCTTCCTCATATATGGTATCGGAACCGTGTAGTGGTGGTGTAAGAATATCCAGTATCCCCATATCATCCCGTAGATGTAGTAAGAGGCGACAGGGGTAAACAAATCAGGAGATGGGCTGGAGCGTCTTCCCAGTAACGACTAAAAATAGAAACTGCGGCTGCCGCCTCTATGAGGCAATCTATAGGGGCTTGTATGTTCAGCAGTCGACTTTAGAATGGGCTGTACCGGTAGATTGTCGTTTCCTATGAAGTAACACAAGCTTTCCTTTTCAGTTGCCATAGGCGTTCCTTTCGGTGTGTTGATACTAATCGGCCTGCTGACAATTATAATTTGGAAGATATTAGTGGACATACACGATGCAAGAGAGTATAAAAATTTTGCAGAGAAATCTGCCGCAGCCGGTTTCACGGTTCCCGGTATAGTTAACCCAGTTTATCGCGCACCTACCGTCAATATTAATAATCCGACCTTTAATCGACAATCACAATAAATATATTGTTAATTAAGTTTTAAATTCTTATAATTAAAAACTTTTATTTTTGTCTTGTCAAGATTTTTTGTTCTTGTCCTTTAAAGCCCATCGGAAAGATACACTGATGGACATTTGCACAATTTAATCTATTCCACCAGTAATTTTGTATAAAATGAGTTTTAAGTACCACAACAAATATCGTTAGACTATTCTATAATCATAGTCTGTCTTCTAAGAAAGACGACATGTCTTTCCGATAGAACTTAGGGACCTTCAAGAAAAGAGCATACTCCTTTTTAAAAGGCCGGCAACGCAACTGCAATTCCCTTGGTGTTGCAGTTGTTCATATGCGGCGGTAAAAACAACTGCAATCGTTTGCCCCCTATACTATGACAAAAAAAATAAACTTCTTAGAAAACTATTTTGAGGGTATTTTGAGGCTTGCAGCGATCAATCGTTTTACCTAAAACTCCTGCGTTAAGTCGGATAAACAAATTGATGTCGGAAATGTAATAAAAGTTAAAAAAAAAATCACATACGCCAAGTTGGCGGGAACCAAAGGTTGAGAGACCTCTATTAATTTAAAAGTAAACTAGAGTCCCACTCCTTTGCACAGACTTCTCTCATTACCTACTGAGAGAGCTTTAGGACAAGGAAGTGCCCACTGCGCTGCCTGCCCTAATGCATGTCGGTGGAAACTTCATATCTTCGAAATATAAAATATAATAATAGTTATTAAACAACAATCGAACAACATCGATATGGAACGCGTAATAATCGGTCCATAATAAGGTATATATCAAATAAATTATATAAAGACAGAGACTGATTCATTTGAGAATGATTGGTTCATTTGACCAGGGTCGATTGATGATTGCGATTACATTTTTTGAACGTTCCGAATCAAACGATCAACGGGACCTACTACCAAAGAGTATAGTAATGTCTGACGACCGACTTAATCGAGCGTCTCACAGAGTACTGATACTTAAAATGATCCATTTGATTGATCGACCCGAATGTCCCGGTTCGTAAGACGCATCAATACTTGAATGATCGGGTCACTAAAAAGGAATGAATGACACATGTCTAAATCTTACTAGTCCATTACCAAAGAAAGAAAGTAAGACTACAGTACACGCAAAAATATTAATGTAGCATGTTAACCTATTACAAATCTATACATCTATACAAATAAATGAAATTGGAGTGTCTGTTTGTAATGTCCAAATAACAGCTTTTCACTAAATGCATATGAAAGCATATACGGTACCTACTTATAACAAAAACACAGTTTTTAAAATTTTTGTCTGTCTGTTTGTTCCGGCTAATTTCCGAAACGGCTGGATCGATTTTGATGACACTTTCACTAGCTGACAGCGGATGTTATATAGAGTAACATAGGCTACTAACACGGGTTTGTATCCGCCCGCGCGTCTCGCTTAATGTTACAGACACCCTATTATGAGTTCAGCTTACTGATCCATTAGACTGTGTCCGTTACTAATACGACGTGGTAATTATAAAGATTTGAAACAACTGTCGTGATTGATGAGTTTATTTTAACAAAATACAGTTATAATTTACTACTCAACATACAGAATACCATAAATACAAATAAATATTTTATATAAATAAATATATAAAACACACACAAAAATTACAAAATAATTTTAAATCATGTTACATTCCAAAAATCATCATTGTTTATTTAAAATGACTGACGTACTTTTCGTTTTCTTTTCTATAATTCACTAGTGTAATATAATATTCTTATCGAAGTTATTCCGTATTGAACATAATATACTAAAATTAAAACTATTATATAATTTTGTTTATGTCGTTCTGTTAAATTATAAAGACAAAAATTTATTCGTTTTATGACCTAATAATATTATAAGTTATAACGAAACGTTTTATTTTTTTTGAATTCGGCTATGCGGTCGCTCGACTGAACGCCGTAAGCGTGTTGGTCGCTCGTCGCAATATGATTTCTTCTCCCGACGTTCCCCAGCGTCTACTTTTGCCTGGACTGCCTGCTGTACATTTTTTTCCAATTTATTTGTGTTATCATTGAATGCAAATTGATAAAAGCTAATGAACGGTGAAAAAAAATTTTTACAATCCCAAACGGAACCAAGAATGTAGATAGGTTCAGAGCCATGTCTGTACTTTCGTCTGATCACTGATCCAGACAGGTATGAAGCACAGGCTACCTCGCCTTTGAATACTTCTGACCATATAGTAATATCTGTATTGTTCTATTTACGAAAATTACCGTTAAGAAGCTCGAATCGGTTTTTTAATTTATTGTTTTAAAAATACCACCTGTATCGAAAACATAAATTAAAACAAGGACGTTTAATTATTTACAATTTAAAATACTTCTGGCAGGTGAATACATCATTCTGTTTTGTCCTGTGGGTGCCGCAAGAGGTGACTATGGAAAGTGCTTGAAGGATATTGTGGCTTTCAAAGTATGGCGGTACGACCATCCCGTTTAGGCCAGTTCTCAATACCCGATTCATTAATTTCAACAGCGTCAAAATGCTAAATGTTTGATGCGATACTGGTTTTAGTATTGGAGATGTCCAAGTCCGGCAATAGACTGTTACTAACTAAACTAACTAATAAGTAGAAAAGAAAATTGTTTTGTAGCACTCTTAAAAATAATCTAATTACTTGTGGTTCACCTGACAGCCCTGTGAACCACCAGGTAAGCAGCAAAATTTATAAAGATAAGATAAGATAATATATGTAGACACGATTCTTTTCATGGTTGCGTTTTCAAACTGCATTAGGACTAATCCTTAGATCTAATCCTGCTTAAAGCTACGAAATTCGCATGTAGTGATTTGTAGTACGAATCAGTTCATGTGCATTTCGAATAAACAAAAATTTATAGTGAAATTACAACTCGTCTTATATATATATAAACTATACATACCCTATTGCTTTCTTTAGTAACTCGACGACATCGTAGGTCGCTACAGGACAATCGTGGTGTGAGATCGCCTGCAGAAAGCCTCTCTTCAAGTCCATAATTGTATACAGCCTCCATGCAGTTACGCCTAAAATACGGTTTACGAGTATATAACTTATCATTATTATAGCTAATATTATTAGCTATTATTATTATTAGCTGTTTTAAAATTATATAAAGTTGTGTAGCCCAGCTTGCTTCTTATACCAAATTTTGTAATGCGCGAGGACAACTAATCGAAATGTGCTTTTAAAAGGACTGCATGGTCATATCATGTTTTATCCTGAAATCTATAATTTTTTATTATTTCCATTAAGATTATAATGTCCCTAATTTAAAATAATAAAGTCACATATTCCATTGTATATTCAGCGTTTATCGACATGCGTATGTTCACCTGTGACTTTTACCCAACTATATCGGTAGACTGTAACTGGCTTCACCAAATTAAACAACAACCCTAAAGAACTTCAGTATTATAAAATTATTCAAGCTTCTTAGATATTTGTTTCTCCTATTTAGAGCGTACAACCATATGTGTAATAAATACTAATAGTGAGTCAACTCGACGACTAGACGGAGCAACGATGAAGCGCGGTATGAAGGAGAGCAGAGTCTTCTCCCTGTCCGCGACGTCTGCGGTAGTACCGGTCGGCTTCCCTTGCGTACCGGTACGCCCGTTTAGGGGTGTCACGTACACGGAATCAGCTGCACGCGTTTAGTGTTCACCTGACAATTATTATTATTACTACAACTATAATAATTATTACTCGGTATTATTTTGAAATATTGGAAAAAGATTATACGACGCCTTTAGTAAAATTGAATTATAATGATTTCTTATATTTACGCGAACTACTAAAACTAACGAATAAAACTATGTTTACGGATTTTATCGCGTTTAATTTAGTATAAAATTAAATTCTTATAACTATGTGATTGCTTTGCATTACGACTTTTAATTAAATTATATGTAAGGATGAGAATTCATTATATCATTAAATTCAACAAGAGACAATTAAAAAAAAACCAATAACAAATGTCGTAAATATTTGTCGTTTGCACATCTGTAACGAGTTGACGTGCATTAAATAAACAGAACCAACATAAAATTTTAACCTGTTTTATTCATCCTTTTCAGACCCTAGCCAATATTTTAAGCGGAATACCTGAGATACTGCTATATAGGTAAAATATAGTCAAATTAGGTAGGTACCTATCAGCACAAGCCTTTGTTTCCATCACGACGAATCAGGTAAAGCTCCGGTTCATAACTAGTGTTCATAACTTGTGAAGTAGTAATTAGTTTTTATCTTTGTATAGAAAAATAAATAATTACGAGGAATACAGACAAAATATAATTTTTTCATATTTTTATCTAAGGAATTTTTTTTGTGACAACCCTTGCATATTTTTAGCGATTAAATATCGAGTTAGTGTTGTAGGTATTTTGCGGTATAACAAACGAGTTGACCCACTTTTTTGTTGTATTTATTACATATATGGTACAACGCTATTACTTAAAAAGTATTTGTTCACCTTGACGTAATAGTTATGACTAGTTGTTTCAGCCATTTCGGAGATTAGCCGGAACAAACAGACAGACAAAAATTTAAAAATTGTATATTTGTTATAAGTACCGTATATACTTTCATATACTATGTCGGAACTAGCGGGAATACGTCAGGAAAGGATAGCTATATAAATATAGTAAATATATAAAAATAGTAAAAGTGTGAGAGTGGATGTTAAAACTGGTCTCATGTTTACGCAGTTAAACATTAGTGTCAATAAAAGAGCGTAATTTTTGCACTATATTTTTGATAATTTTTTTTTGATATTTTATAAAAAAACGTTATCCCCACACTAGGATTTTCTCCTGTATCGTGGAGGCAGTTTACAATCATAGATTGCACGAGGACAAACATCCAGACCCGGAACAATTATTTGTAAGCCGTACAAATACTTGTTACACGCGGGACTCGAAACCGCGGCCCCCAGCGCATAACTCATTGCTAAGCCACTGCGCCACGGAGCCGTCAAAACAATCAGTATAGGCAATTACATTTCGATCATACCGTATTTATGACCTTGTCACAATTGCTCACTGGTGTAATTCGAAGGACATAATTACTGAATTATATGATAACACCAAAGTATGCAAACTAACAGCAAAACTACCCATCTCAATGTAACACATGACAGCCTTTCAGCAACACCATCTCCTTGCCTGCACCAGAAGAATCACCACAACGGACAGAACCACGACTTTGTCTTAGAACGCGTAAGACTTCACTCATGACACACTGAACTTTATACTGCATAAACTGAGTGAGAGGGCGGGAGGTTCTCGAAATACCCTCAATTCCAAATCGCCACCGTCGATATGATACTCCACTAAAGTGACGCAACCTCTCGCTCACTCTCCGGTATTTTATAAACGCATAATTTTAGTATAACATTTAGTAAAAATCTGTTATTTTGACGTTACAAACAAACACTCAATGAGATATTTATTTGTATAAAATAATTAAGGATCACGTACGATACATCCTTCTCGGCGATATTGTGTTGAAGAATAATACGCGTTGATGGCTGGGGACTACTGGCTCGAGTGCCTGCCAGCGTGTCGCGACATAGAGCATCACGAACTTCTTGTAAACGCCGTCTTTCTTCCGCCACTTTACGATCTAACTCCATAACTGAAACAATTCAGTCCAAGATTGAAAAAGCACACATATGGCCAAATACTCCATTTTAAGGTGTCGTTAAGTCTCATGGTCTCACAGTCTTAAAGCGATAGAGACAGTACGAGACTTATCGGCATCTTAAAATTAAGGAGCATTTGGGCATTAGAGTAATAATGATGATTACAGCTATACATAATGTCTACTAATTAATTCATTAAAAAAAATAGAAATATAAAAACTAAAAACTAAACTAAACTAAACAAACTATTTTTTACGTGGTAGAGCCACGCTGCAGCTATATTAGTGGTATAATTGTAGATCGAATGGGTCGGCTCGACCGGGTAAGAACCACGCTCTCACAGAATACCAGCGTAAAATAGCAGCTTAAAGCTGCTGTGTTTCGTATGGTGAGTGTAGAGAACCGTAAACCCTTTTTACTGGAAATGAGGCATTCCATCTTAGTCCTCACGGGTGACAACGCATCTGTATCTTGATTTGTAATAGAGGATAGATGTAGATGTCTATGGGCCGCAGCAATCACTTACCATCACATGGACTGTGTGCTCGTTTGTCACCCTTATCTTATAAAAAACAAAACTAAATTTTACGTGGTAGCGCCAAGCTGCAGCTATATTATTGTTGTAGCACGAATGGCTCGGCTCGACCGAGAAAGGACCACGCTCTCACAGAATACCAGCCTAAAATAGCAGCTTAATGCTGGTGTGTTTCGTATAGTGAGTGCAGAGAACCGGAGATGCTTTTTACTGGTATCGAGGCATTCCATTTTAGTCCTCAGAGTTAACAACGCATCAGCATATTAATTCTTAATGGAGAATAAATAATGGTGTCTATGGACCACAGCAACTTTCTCAACATATTGCTTGCACTTGCGCGAAGGTTATAAGGATAGTACAATTAACTTACAGTAGGTGGCGCGTGTTTTTTCCACAATTATTTCCTCTGTGGCAGCAACGCGCCGTGCAGTAATTTATAAAATTGTAAAAAATATTAAAAAAAAATTACATTGCTTAAAAATTAAAATGAAGGTCACACCGTTGACGGCACTCCTCAAAAACATTTAGCAGAGATTATTAAAGGCTTCTAAGATTCTGTCCAGGAATGAAACCGATTTTTTCATCAATATTCTTTCTTACATCTGCACAATTACTTTAAATAAGTTAGAATTAAATTAGATAAAGTTTGTAAAATTATTTTTCTTCAATATAGGGTGAAGTCGATGTTCGAGGCAGCCATTTACCTCTTCATGAAATTCCTGTATTGTCTCACATACCTGTAGTTGAGGAGAAAAAAAATTGCGTACCTTGTCAATATAGAGCACAGACGTTAGACCTATAATACCTTTATAGAACTTTGCTGACAGGGGTTATTGTAAAACCGTTAGTTACATCTGTACTCAAAAGCGGTAATTATGACGTTTTAAAAAAAAATAGGGCTACTTTAATATTACAAATAAATCATATCAAGATCTAAGATCGTAACACTACACACAAAACATCATAATATCCCGCGCATCTGTCAATAGACATATAATTTCATAAATATTTATATATAAACTAGCTGGCCAGGCAGACGTTGTTCTACCCTTTCCAACGACCCTTTAAATAAAAAAAATCCTTAAATTCGCAATAAAAAAAAGATTGAAGGTCATTTATCGGGATAAAAAGTATCCTATCTCTCAAGCTGGACCAAACCGAACACAGTGTGTAAAATTTCATTGCAATCAGTTCAATAGGTTAGGAGTTCATCGCGGACAAACAATGTGACACGTAATTTTTATATATAAAGATATTTTCTGATGCTTACTATGTTTTTGTGCTAGTCGTTGTTTTTTCATAAGTTCGGTTTCTAAGGAGTCTATCCTTTTATGAACTGTTTCTTGCTTACGTAGTATCGTCTTCCACGTTCTGCATACTTTAAAATGCAAAAATGAGAGCTCTTGAGCATCTAACGCCTGCGTAAGAAGTAAAGATAATAAATAAAAATTAAAATAATTACGTAGCGTAGATGCAAAATATTCCAAAAATGCTTTTTAAATTACTAAATCAAAAATAGTCGCTAGGAGTTATATCGCTGACTCAGGCCAAATTCCGAAACAGATTTTGGTATTGCTTTTCTGAAAAGTAACATGACGTCCTTTTTCAAATGGGCAACATATTTTTAAGGAGGCTATTAAAAGGACCTATCACATCCAATAGTTTACATACATAAATTGCACAAGGACAAACATCCAGACCCTGAACAATTATTTTTATGCCATACAAACACTTGTTCCGTGCGGGATCCGAAGCCGCGGCTCCAAACGCTGCAACTCATTGTTAAACCACTGCGCCAGGAAGCCGTCAAAAATTATAATATCCTTTTCTTTAATTGTCTTTTATATGCGCCTTGATTTTTTTAAATCTTGCAGGAAATTGTTCAAATTTCGATAAACAAAACATAGAAATTGGTTAGGGTTAGGTCTGGCGAGGATGGAATTAGTCGAGTTAAGCGTCTCCCACACAAGAGCGGCTTGCGGTGGCGGCCGCGGTGGCGGTCAGTTGTTTTCGCTTACAATGTAAGTGAGTCTGCAAACCCGTGCGGCCATGTCGCGATCTGCGAGCGGCTGGCCGCAGCCGCATGCTCCGCCCCTTATGCCAACGCGTGTGTGTTAGCGAGTACGCGGTCAGTTGCAAATTTTTACAACAGGCCGCGTGTACTGCGTGAAAAATGGTGCTAAATTCAGAGATTTTAATAGAAACAGTGCAAAATTAGTCAGTACTCTATGATAATTCACATCGTGATTATAAAAGCATTAGGATTAAACAAAATATATAATAATATTGCAGAATATAATAAGACTTGGTCACGGTTAGTCATGTTACTGACGTCCAATCGTAGCACAGACACCTCAGCGAATGGCACTTCAGGCCGCCGCTGCGACCGCGGTGGTGTGTTGTTGCAGCGGCTGGAGCCGCGGCTCGCGGTTAGCCGCCACCGCAAGCCGCTTGTGTGTGGGAGACGCTTTATCGTTCCTAACTGCAGTTCTGGTAATGTTGAAACGGTTTGTCGAGCATTGGGGTCTTGCGTTATCAGAGAGTAATAATGACGAAGATTTATTCACGATTCGGGGTTGTTTCTCTGAGAGTTTCACCATCATTGTTCGAAGTTCTTTACAATATATAAAGAACAATGGCCAAAACGTCTCCACCCTAGTAGCACTTTAAATTCTGTGTTTATTAACATATTATGTTAATCGAAGGGCCATAGTCATTTTATCATGTGAAATGTCCATCCGATAAAAGTTATATCAACATGAGCAAACCGAAATCAGTCACAATTATGTTGCCGTATAATGTTCTATGTTATTAAAAATATTGTACAAAATAATCGCAGTATTGCCGTTGTCCCGGCTAACGTGATTTCCGAGGCACGGGGAGGTCTTGATATGTAAAGTTAGTCACCCATCCACGGACCATAATGTGGAATAATTAAATACTCTCGTTCGGAGTTTTCAAGCCTTCTTCAGGAACGTGGTATTCAATAAATAACTTCCTCACTTCTTCACTGACTTTCAAATTCCTGGAGCGCTTCTCAAACCTTCGTGGAGCCTTTTCGTGATTGTGTCTACGTCACATATGATACGTGGCGTAGACACTAACAGGAATCACGAATACATACCAACAACGACTTTGACAACTACGTTGTTGCACAAAATGTTAACAGGCAGCGGGCTGCGTTCAGGACATTGACTGACGAGACTAAAATATGCCGTTCCCTGAATTGACAAACGAAGATATTATTTTGTTTAGCTTGGGAGCATATCTTTAACTGGCAGCTTCATGTCAGCGAAAATCTACATGGCGGCGTCTATAACATAGAGGTTTGTGCAACTCCAAGCTTTTTTCGGATGGATATTTCAGTTTCGTTGTCATACAATAAAATGATAAGATGGCTATGGGCCTTCGATTAACATAGGTTTTAAAGTGCTACAAGGGTGGGACGGTGCCCATACCTTTTTGGGCATTATTTTATGCTGTAATAATACACTGGGTCCCAAAAAACAATAGTGAAATACACCATGAATTGACTACAGTACCGTACAGTTACCATTATTTTTGTATGGGTGGGTTTCGTAACTAAGTCTCCTACTATGAAGAATAAGAATAACGTGCATGATATGTAATTTAAGTACTTAAAATATTATAATAGAAAAGACGGTAAATCTATTCTTACCTCAACGCTTTCCGTCAATATTTTATTTGCGACATATTTTAAGTATGCCTGTTCAGCCGTTCTTCGTTGGTCCAAATCCACTTGCTCAAATATTTTGCGGATGGTGTCAGAAACGTTCATACCGACAGAACACGTGCATAGACCATGTGTTCTTACCTTTGGCTTAATACTAAATTCCTCTACTGATGTTTTGCTAAGTGTTTTAATGTCAAATGGAGACTTATGTTTCATCATGCGTTTCTTTATTTCAGGAGAAGAAATTTTTTGCTGTTCCTAGCAAATAGATATACTTATTACAATTTTATATTGCATTTATTAATATAAGCTGTATGAATATTATATTTTTTTTTATAGAATAAGAGTGACAAACGAGCATACAGTCCACTTGATGGTTAGTGGATGCTGTGGCCCATAGACATCTACATTTATCCTCAATTAAGAATCAAAATGCAGATTCGCCACCACCCCTGGCTGGACTGAGATGAAATGCCTCGTTTTCAGTAAAAGGGTCTCCGGTTCTCTACACTCACCATACGAAACACAGCAGTATTGAGTTGCTATTTTACGCTGGTATTTTGTGAGAGCGTGGTCCTACCCCGGTGGGACCGGGTCGGGGTGGTTACAGCATGGCTCTACCACGTAAAAAAATGTAATTATTCCTTTTTTATTCTGTATCAAAATTAAATTATATGTGTTAAAATTATCCCCCAGCGGAATGCAGTAGGAATTGCCACAATCATCCCCTTAATAGTTAGTTAAAAATTTAAATACTAAAAATATTGCTCTTTCGATGCAGTTCTTCGTTGTCAGTCTGGGATTTTCACATCTAATATATACGAAATGGTTTACCGTCATATCGCCAAACGTACATTCATAATTGAGATTATATATAGATAATAGAGATTATATTTTATTTAATTACCTCATCTGAGTTGAACAGGCTCGACTTTAGTATTTCATCTCTTAAAATGTGGTTTTCTTTCTCCAGTTTATCTACTTTTCGCATAGCCTCTGTACTTAATGTTCTTAAAGTGTCTGTTTCGTTTTCATGTAATTTTAGTATGTCTTGCAAAGTTTCCTCATGAAGACTTTGTAGGTTGTGAACGCCTTGATTGTGCTCATTCATTATATTTTTTACGTTATTATCATATTGTGCTTTGATAGCTCGAATTTTCTCTTTATACTCTCGTTCAACATTTTTTAATGTATTTGTAAGAGACCTTATCTTTTCATTATAATAAGAAACATCTTCAATTTCAACCATTACACCAATATCATTTGTTTCTAATTTATTTTTAATGGTAATAGCATTTTTACTTGATTCAGATTTTGATGAACTATTTGGGAAAATTAGTTTTTTTGAAGCACTGGGATCATTGGAAACAAAATTTGATTTAGTAAATATATCCTTGCTATCATTAGCAGTTTTAAATGTTTCATCTTCCAAATTATAAATTTGTGTAATAGCATTTTTACTAGATTCAGATTTTGATGAACTATTTGGGAAAATTAGATTTTTTGAAGCACTGGGATCATTGGAAACAAAATTTGATTTAGTAAATGTATCCTTGCTATCATTAGCAGTTTTAAATGTTTCATCTTCCAAATTATAAATTTGTGTAATAGCATTTTTACTAGATTCAGATTTTGATGAACTATTTGGGAAAATTAGATTTTTTGAAGCACTGGAATTATTGGAAATAAAATTTGATTTAGTAAGTGTATCCTTGCTATCATTAGCAGTTTTAAATGTTTCATCTTCCAATTTGATATGTTGCTTTGCCGCGTTCGAAATGTAGTCATGTTCAATTTTTTTTAATTTATGTTTTATTGGTCTATTCTTTTTATTTATTGTTTCTTGTTGTTTTGTTTTTATTATTGAAATGTTTTTACCGATATCATTTAATGTGTTTTCATCATAACTTAATTTATTTATACTATCGCGCGTAACATCATGATGCTTATTCCAGTGTACTTCCCTATATTCTTCATTTTTATTTAATACTGCGTTTAATTTTCCAATATTATGATTCACATTGACAACTTCTTGGTTTGATTCAGCATCCACCTCAGAGGATATCAAGGAATTAAGTGAACGTGACAATCTAACGGCGTTCAATTTGTCATCATTATTTTCACGTTTCTTTTCATTGTTATTGATTTTTATATAGTGGTGGGACATTTTTTTTATTAGAGATACTTCACTTAAAGAATTTTGCATAGGTTGGTTCAATGATTTTTTTTTACGTTCATGGTTGTTGCTGACCATAGGCTTGGTATAATTAATAGGTAGTGAATCTACTAACACTTTTTCGATTTTTTTGTCTTTTGTTTGAGAGTTCATTTTATTTATTTCTAAAGATTTTGATTTTACTAAGTATTCTTTGTTACTTAAAATACTTGAATCATTTCTAGATTTATTGTCATGATCAGTATCCTGGTAAATAACAAAAATATCTTCATAATCGGAGACCTCTAAATTATTAGAAGTTAAACTTCTTTTACTGTTTTTAATGCTATTTGTGAATTGGTACTGGTCATTATTTTTTTTATCGTCAGGGATTTTCTTGTGAGTCGATGTTATACGACTTTTACCATTTTTGATGCTATTAGTGAAATGGTCTTTAGTTTTACTATCAACAATAGTAAAACCAGTAACTGTTGTCTTATTACCACGGTTCTGATTAGTGTCATTAGAGTTTAAGCTTGATGTAGAATACGGAGTTTGAATATCTGAGATTTTATTGATTTTAATATTTGGTTCCTTAAGAGTAAACGTAGGAGTGGCTAAACTTTTACTGGATAATTTACTATTGACTGTAAGCGATTCCCTGCCATAAGAATCCGAAATGTCTTCATCACTGATACAAGATACGGAATATTGTTCCATTCCTCCTATACTAAGTCTTTTTAATTTGTAACTTAAATATGCATTTCTTACGAAATCAAAATCAGGTTTTACATTTGCGGTCAAAATTTGAACTTCATTGATTGGTTCAGATTCCTTTTTCAAATTCAAATCGTTTAGTTTTTGATCAGATTTTAAGTTTTCAAAACCTGTAGTTTTTAAATTCATTACCTTGTCATTTTCCAAACTATCTACACTATCGAATGTTGTGTTATTCTTTTCTTCCAAAGAATTAACGGAAATTTCCCGTAGCCCCATATTTTCAGTTTGTGCTGAAATATTATTTTGAATATTTTTTATATTACATTGAATAGCGAAATCCATTAAATTTTTATTTTTTAAAGTCTCAAAACTCACTTGGAGAGTTTTAATATCTTGACATTTTTTTTCCAAATCGATTTTTGCCTGTTCAATAATATTATTATTTTGTTTGTTTTGTTCCTTTTCAATTGATAAATTATATTCCAAATCACTTATTTTAGCTAATGCATTTGTGTACAATTCTCGAAGAGATCGTAGTTCTTCTTCTAATTTTAAGACATAATTCTCTGTTGATTCATTTATTTTACTAATTATAAGCTTTTGATTTGATAATTCTGCTTCTAAGTCATTAATAATCTCCTTGTCTTTAGTTATTTGTTCTTCTAACTGTTCCTTCAGAACAACTAATTGTTTTTGTACATTAATTTTATCTTTTATGATTTCTTCTTTTTCTTTTATTATATTCTGCTTTTCTTTCTCAACAATTCTTTTAGCCTCATCAGCTTTACTTAAAACTAACTGAGATGAATTATTTCTAGCTTCTATATAATCACTGATTATGTCTAGCGATGTCAAAATATTCTCAACATAACAATTATCAGGCGATAAAGCGCTATCACCTACACATTTTATTTCAAGTTGCTTAATGTATGTTACAATTATTTCTCTTTCGCCTTCTAAACGAGTTACCTGAGAAGAATAAGTGTCTTTTTTCATTGTAGATTCCTCAATTTCCTCTTTTGTGGCAGAAATTTTTTCTTCCAATTTATAATTTTCATCCATTAATTTCGCTAATTCAATTCTCATATTATGAGTAGCTTTTGAGTCTAAAAAGGCAAATACGGTTATTGCTATTTATTAAACGAATGGATACTATTATAATTTCATTATTATCGTTGAGCAATATTTTAACGCTCTATAGATAGCTAGTGGCAGAAACTATAATTTAATAGTTTTTGCCGTTTGGCAAAATATAAACATATAAAGATTTAAATAAATTAAGTAATATCAAAATAAACAACCGTGTAGAGGCGTTTTAAGAATATCCACTACCCCATATCACTAGTTGCCCTAAGAGGCGACTTAGGGAAACAAAATAGGAAATAAACATGGCATGGCTAAGCATGGCAATTATGGCAAATATCCAACTACCTAATATTTTTTATAGAATAAGGGTGACAAACGAGCACACAGTCCACCTGATGGTAACTGGACGCTGTGGCCCATAGACATCTACATCTATCCTCAATAAAGAATAAGAGTCACCCCTGAGGAGTAAGATGTAATTCCTCGTACCGAGTATAAAGGGTCTCCAGTTTTCAACACTCATACTGCCATTTTACGCTGGTAATCTGTGAGAACATGCTCATTCCCCGGTCGAGCCGGCCCATTCGTGCTACAACTATAATATACGTGCAGAATGGCTCTATCACGTACAAAACTATGAGGCAATCTATCTTCATAGATTGGCCTATGTTTAGGAGTGGATTTTGCACTATTTTTGACTGCATCTTGGAATAATAATAATTAACACTTTAACTGTACGGTTTACAGACACAATAGTAAGACAATAGCAATGACTTATATGTAGTGCACGGGACAGCGAAAGGGTTAAAAATATTGAAAACCAATGTCACTAAAGAATATAATCTAACAACTTCTCCAGTGTGAATTGTAAGACATTACTTCTCTTCTTGTAGATTACACATCTATGAAAAATAATCGGATGGCACATAAAATATTTATACGGTGCCGACGAGTTCGAATATTGATTTCTCGTTACTATGATCATACTATGTAAGCCCGGTCCTTAAGTCACCACAGTTGCATAAGTAGGCTTAAGTAAAATTAAATTTATGTTGTTGCATTATAATTTTTTGATTTCTCATTATCTCAAAATCCATCAATCCATTCGCATAAACGTGTGCTGTTTACAAATAATTATAAATCACGAAAGTCATTCAGATAGAATAAATGCTAGCATGCCTACAATATTCGAAAAAAAATTCTATAGACTATAAAATAGCATGAAAGAGGCGAAAAACAGAAAAAATATATTTACGATGTGCTTCCATTTGCTTTAACGAATTATCAATTTTATTATTTCTTTCATTTATTGCTTCTCCAAAGTCAATCGTGGTAGATAAAATTGTTTGTAATCTTTGGACTTCATCACCTAATTCATTGACATGATTCTCTAAAATCGATATTTTTACATCGCGGGTTGAAATATCTTCCCTGAGGTTAACAATTAATTGATCCTAAAATAAAACGAGTATAGACACCAAATTATATTATATGATAAGAAATAAAATAAATGTTTATTTTCTGTATTGACTTAAATAAAATTATTTATTTATTACCGATTTATCTATGTCGTCTAATAAACTTTGAATCCGTATTTGATTAAGATCTTTTTCTTTTTTCATTTTTTGTACTTCTTCTTTTAAATCTAAATAAAGTGTAGAAGATGACGCTAGTTGTTGGTGAACCTAAATGTAAAGGAGTAAATGAGATAAAATGCAACAGATTAAAAGAATCTAGAAAGAATCACACGTAGCTTACCTCATTTCTTATATTCATAAGGTTATTAATTTCATTTTGTAAATTTTTATTTTCTAATTCTATTTCCTTCTTTAGGGTTAACTGTAATTGTAAATCACATTGAACCTTTTCTTTTTCAGATTTAAGTTGATTATAGGAAGTTTTTATAAGGTTTAGTTCATTTTCTAATTTTTCATAATATGAATTAATTTTCTTTTTCAGGTAATCATTTTCAGTTGTTATTGCACTTAATTCTGTCGTAATAGTTAAATTTTCCTTTTCTAAATAATCTATTTTATTATGGGCTTGCATTAGTTGTTCTTGAAGTGATTGTATTTGAATTGACAAGTTATTATTTTCCTCAGATTTTACTTTCAAGGTACAATGAAGATTATTAAGTTCATCTTTTTGCAAATTTATTTGATTTAAAACAAATTTATTTTCTTGAATTAAATCATCATAAGATTTATCTAATAGCATTATTTTTTGGTCCAAAATTCTAATTCTTTCCGAAATAAAGTGAACACGCTGGTTTTCTATTTTAATTTTATCTAACATTGCCAACAGACTTTCAATTTCGCGATTTTTCAATGATAAATCATTTTGAAAACTGTTTTTGGTCTCTAAAAGTATTTCGTTATGATATTTTATTTTTATTAGGTCTTCTTTTATTTTCTCATTTTCGTCCATTTGCTCAAGAAAATATCGTTTTTCATCGTTCATCACTTGTATGCGATGATTTGCTTCCTCAAGTTTATCCCTTAATTCATTGACAAGACAATTCTTTTCTTCTTCTTTTATTTTCTCATTTTCGTCTATTTGCTCAAGAAAATATCGTTTTTCATTGTTCATCACTTGTATGAGATGTTTTGCTTCCTCAAGTTTGTTAGATTTATCTCTTAATTCATTTAAAAGACAATTTTTTTCTTCAAGTATTTGTTGATATGAATCTTTTAACACATTACATTTATCCGCAAGGTAGCTTATTTCTTGAAGCTTATTTCTCAATATTTCACTTTCGTTTTCTTTTATTTCTAAACCTTTCATATATTCACTGCTCTTTTTTATCAATGTTTCGTCATGCATTTCGTTGAACGATTGAAATTTGTTAACTTCATCAGAGTGTGCGTTGTCTTTAGAACTCTGCTTTATTTCATTTTGTGATTTTTTTTCGTTGAACGTTAGAAATTTATTAACTTCATCAGAGTGTGAGTTATCTTTTGAACTCTGCTTTATTTCATTTTGTGTAATTTTTTCGTTGCACGTTTGGAGTTTGTTAACTTCATCAGAGTGTGAGTTGTTTTTTGAACTCTGCTTTATTTCATTTTGTGTATTTTTTTCATTGAATGTTTGAAATTTGTTAACTTCATCAGAGTGTGCACTGTCTTCTGAACTCTGTTTTATTCCATTTTGTGCTTTTATAGTTTCAATGTTTTCAGACAATTCATTACTTTCCGTGGTTTGTCCACTGGCTGCCACATTTTGTTCTCGATTTATCAGATCGAAGTCAGAGATTTTACCAAGCAATGTTTCACTTACCTTGGTAGCTATTTTTATTGAACTCATTGCAATTTTTCTTTCATTTTCGAGTGTGTGTATTTTATCATTGTAACTTTGATGTATTTCATTCAACTGCTTGATCAAATCACCCTTTTGCTGTTTTGTGCTTTCCACTTCTTCCGCCAATTTATTAATTTCCAACGATTTGTTGCTGACAACTTTCATTAAATTCTCTATGGCAATAGCTTTATCCTCGACGTCAATTGTAAGACTCTTATTTTCATCAATTAACTTCTTCATTTCATCTTGTGTTTCTTCTATTAGCTTTTCCAAATAATCATTACGTTGAATTGTTTTTTCACACACTCCTGTTATATAAATAGTGTTTTAGTTAATGTAAAATATTTTTTGTTAATATTTATTAATATTATGCCTTATTACAAGCATAGTATGAAATGTTTTTGAAGAAAACAGAAGAATTACCGCTACAATAATAATTGATCAAAGTTAGTTTATTCACAACATCTAAAATACTATGGATATAACCTATTAAGCTAGCCGAACTTAAGTACCAACAAGTTGACTACCAACATTTTAATAAAATAGTACAAAACTTATTTATGCTACTGGCAATAGACAGTATATTTAACAAAGTAACACGTTGTTATAACAATGTAATATTTTAAGATAACCCTTCGTAAGCATCGTGTTTATGAATTACGGAGGATTGTATTATTTTCCCATCTATTTATATATTAGTAGTAAAGACTAAATAGTTACATAGTAATAGTTTTTATATTGTAAGGAAGACAATCGAACACGCAGTCCACCTAAATGGTAATTGGGTTGGCCCAAAGGCAATTACATATATCCTCGATTAAGAATAATGCAGGGGCGTTATCAAGTCTGAGGACTAATAAGAAATAACTCGTTACCAGTTAAGTCTTCAGTTCTCGTCACTAACAACAAGAAACACTAAACAACTATTATGCTGCTATTTCACGCTGGGATTGCGTGGAAGACTTCCGAGTTAAACAAACCGGTATATTCGTTCTGTAGTCAGTACAAAACAGCTACAGCTTCACTCTGTCACAGAAAAATCTTGCTTAGTTTAGTATTTAGCAAGAGTGGGTGGGGCGATGGTACCATCTATCGAGTTAAAGCGCTTTTCCTCGCAAAAATATTTCATTTTGTTCCTTTACATTACAATGACCTAGACATAGCTATGACGCACGCAAAATAATTATGTTGTGAACACATTATAATTTTTTTTTATAGAAGAGACGAACATTTACTAAACGAACATGCAGCTCTCCTGATGGTAAGTGTCGACTGTCGCCCATGATCAACTGCAACAACCAACAATTGCAGGTGTGTTGCCGGCCTTTTAAAAAGGAGTAAGCTCGTCCCATGTCCCTAAGTCGTATCGATCAGGAAAAATGATGGTAAACGATTCCACAAAGAAGTCGTGGAAGAACGTTTATAATAAATTATATTTTAAGTTAAGCTGTAGCTAGCCTGGGTTAACTAACAGTGATAACGGAAAAATACAATTCGAAATCCTAATCTACAGTCGTTTCAAAATGAAATTCCTCTTATCGGAAAAGAAACGGTGAAAGAAACTCCACAGCTATCCTCTTTTTCTAATTTTTCTAAAAGTTAGTATTACGTATAATAATACATATGTACAGAATGGAAAACGACAGTAGACCCATCAATAACTAAATTATTTTAATTATTTACATGGATGTCCTCAAAAAAAAGCAACTAAAAATTTAGAGCATATCAGCGTATAGCGAAGAGGCATCTGGACGGGCAGACCAGCCTCACACAGTGCTCTATCAACGGCTTTCGATTTTTCTAGTGAATCTGAGAAATCTAAAAGAACAAGTGATTAAACTAACGATTACGCTATATTTCTTTTATCGCATCAGCTTACGGTAATAGATTGGGTGGAAGTGTAGTCACAGTGTGATTAGGAGTGAAATCGAGAAATGATAATTTTATTGTGCTTTTGGAAATGTACAGCAGTGTATTTAAAAAGTCTAGTATTGTGATTATAATGCGACGATGCACTTTGAATATTTTTCATCCGTTACTACCCTACACAATGTTTACTGTGGAACAAAAAAAGTCACAAATACGAGGTACGTCACAAAACACGATCCTGAGGAGGACATCCATCGACTTCCTGCATGTCTTACCAGCTTATCAGTCGATTGACCTTATGGTGGTGGACTTTTGATTGGTTGAGAGACAGTATTGGGGTCATTAAGCATAGAGCTTAGCTCCTTCAGCTATTCTACGATAGTAACTATATCGTCAGCATATCAAAGGTAAGTGATGTACTCCCCATTGATGTTGATACCGTATGTTTTCCAATCAGTAGCTTGGAAAGATCATTATCTTAATTTCTATTCTTCCATGATAGCACTACTCCGAAAGCATAAATTGGAAGTGTGGTGGCCTTGTTTTTTTAAAAAAAAATAACAAAGTTTTGAAGAACCATAGATCGATTGCTTTTCCTAGCTGCGTCATCGTGGCTTTTTGAGAGCCATTACAAATCGTTTCGTACGCAGACTTGACGACTCCTGAACAAACTGGTTTCCAAAAAGGCTTTAATACCATAGACCACATATGTGAACTATGAAAAAGCAAGTTATTCCGCCGAAATTTGGGTGGAGTTACTGCCTCTTCATTGGTGCTAGATTAACCGTCGGTACATAGGAATGCTGAAGTGTTGCTACTTAAAATATATAAGTAGTTTTTTTTTTAGTTTCTAATAATAATATTGAGGAACCGGATCCTTATTATAATTTATATAATCTTTTTATAAATATACGTAATGAAAACTTACTTTTCCAATCTTCAATCTCCAATCTTAAATTATTGATAATCACAAGTTTTTGTTGAAAGTCTTCATCAAGTTTCTTTTTTTCTTCCTCTTTGTGGAACAGAGAATCCTTAAGATTATTTATTTGTTCCTTTTGCGATTCAATTTGATTAATCAACCCCATCATCTTTAACTCATTTCCTTCTAGGACCTAATTATATTTACATATTTTTCTTAATGTTTGATTTGCTAATAATACTGAAACGTGTAATATAGTCTGTTCACTTAGATACGATCGCCTTTGTATCGCGCCGCCTCGGTACCTGCCACATCTTGTCAAAGGTGCCGCCGCGACATCAAAGGTTGTCGAAATACTATTTCAGTATGGATACAGAACGTAATGACGTTGAATGGCCTTATTACAAATATAGGTGGCAATGACTCCGATACTTCGATTGATGAAGAGTAGTGTCTATTATGTTTACCTGTCTACTCATATTATTCATTTAAATCTGGGGGCACGGCAGTCGAGCCCCCGCCAAGTCGAGCAAAAAAGCGAATATATATATATATATATATATATATATATATAATAAATTGACTTGGCAATCGCACTAAATAATCTAATATAAAAGATTTTTGATATTTATATGGTCACTATAAGATGTTGTTAGGTTAGCTAATTACGTAATAACCTAAGACAGAAGGACCCTTAAGTAGGGACTGAATAAATTAACCGACTTGGTATTACATGGATCTCACAACGTTTTACGGTAGAAAAACTCAGTTGCGAGACTTGGTTTTTTACAAGTTATGTTTTTGATGGCATTCAGTTTGTTACCTAACTTGTGTTTATTATTTATATTCGCATATTATTACAATAACCATAGAAATAAAATGGTATTCTATTTTATTATTAGAATAGAAAAACATTTATATAACAAACAGATAATAAGTGCGCCTCTGAGTGTACCGACACTATCTTAGTGAACACACTATAGTAGTATTTATAATATGGACTTACGTCATCATTATTTCGTTCAAGAAACTTGTTAATTTGAACCAATAAACTTTGTATTTGTTGGTCTTGACACATTATTTTACATTCATATTCCTGCAGTCGGCATGTAAGTGCATGTTTTTCTTTTTCACACACTATGGATGCTTCATTTATTCTTTTTTCTAAATTTACATTTTCATTTCTTAATTGTTCCATTGTAACTGATTTCGCATCGGCTATTTCAATTTGAGCTTTTAATTGCGTTTCCAAATTTAATGTTTCATCAGCCAATACTAAATACTTTTCCTTTAAAATGTCGAGATCTTCTGATCTTTTTTTATAATATTCTCGTTCATTCCACAAACTATTATACGAATTTAATTGATCACGCAACTTTTCATACTCTTTTTCTAATTCATCGTATTTTTGACACTTAATTATTAAACAATTCTTTTCATACTTTAATTCATCATAGCAAGTTAGAAGATCTTCATAACTTGCTTGTAAATTTTTTAAGCGAATTAGGTTTTCTACGTTAATACTGCAGTTATTATTAACGACAAAATCCTCTTCAGCAGAAATCTCTTCAACTTTTACTGACGAATTTTTTTTACTCAGTATTTGTTTCATCTCATCATTTCCCATTATATCAGCTACAAGCTCAGCTCGTTTACTATCAAGATTTGTAATCACAGTTTCTTTAGACGTCAACGCAAATGTAGTTTCCATCCATGAAGTTATTTCAGCGTGATAACAAGAACAATCCTTCGAGCAAGGAGCAATTAGGGCAAAGCAAAACTTTTCCAGTACTTTCAATTTATAGAAGATTTTTCCTTTAATGTCGACGTTCCGAGTATCTTTTCCAGATGTCTAAGTAAATTGAAAATTTTTCTTAATTAACCATTAAAGTTAACAAAAAATTACTTTGCGTACATCCGCTCGATAAAATAAAATGATGTGTTTTACCTAGTTGGAAGAGCACCTCCCGCCCTCCCTCAATTGCGTGCACTATCCCCGTCACCACTAAAACTTAGCGATTAGCAACCGTAGAGTCTATATCACCTGAGGATGCCTCGTGTAGAGGCGAAACACGTGTCGTATTGTCGTTAGTGGTGTGTCTTTCCTAGTGTAGTGGTGTTGGGAGTAGTGGTGCTGGGATTAATGGTGACGGGTGTAGTGCACGCAATTGAGGTAGGGCGGGAGGTGCTCTTCAAACTAGGTAAGACACATCATTTTATTTTATCGAGCGGATGTACGCAAAGTAATTTTTTGTTAACTTTAATATAATGGACTTCCGCAAAGTAACGCCTGATTCTATTAATTATCTTAAGTAACCATGTCAATTAAACAATAAATATAGTATATACCAGAAGATCAAGATACTGCTTATATTTTTCATTTTGACATAATACAGCAAATATTTTCTCTAGTGCCGTGTAAATATGAGCATAGATGCAATAAGGCTCACAAACATCATTCTCCATAACCTAAAATAAAAAATATAGTAAGTTCTATATGTTTTCGAGTAACAAATAAAAACATTGTTTTATAGCTTCCATTCACCATCATCATAATCATTAAAGCTCTTCAAAAGTCCACTATTGAACATAGACCTCCCCCAAGGAATCTCACAAAGCACGGTCCCGAGCCATCTGCATGACTCTCGAAAACAGCACGAAGACGCGGCTCAGAAGGGAAATCGGTCTATAGTTCTTCAAGAGAGCGTTTCCGCCTTTCTTGAAGAACAATACCACTGCACTTTTGCTCCACGCCTCCGGTGTAGTACCACCATGGAGGACGAAATTAAAGAGCTTCTGAAGGACTACAAGTACCGGTTTTCCACCCGCTTTCATAAGCTTCGCTTTAATTCCATCCTCGCCTGGGGCCTTGCCGTTTTTAACGTGCTGGAGAGCCATTCTAATCTCGCTCACACTGACGTCCGGAATATCATCGGAATAGTGCCGGATAAGACTTGCTCTTGGATCGTTACTCACACTTGGCTCCAACGATGATGTGTATAGCTGCCCATAAAACCTCTTAATACCACTAAAAATCTCAGGTGTCCCGGAAACGACGCTGCCACACTCGCTCTTCAGCTTTGACAGTTGACTCTTTCTGGCAGACAGATTTCTAGCAAATACTTTGGAGCCCTGGTTCCGCTCAATTGCTCCTTTAATATGAGCAATATTAAAGTTGCGCAAGACCCTCCTCATGCATTTGGAGATCTGTCTGTTCAGTTGTCTGTATGCTGTCAAATCTACTGTAAACTGCAGCTTCATTTCCAGTCTAACAGTCATGAGATTAAGAGTGATCGGAGAATTTTTGTGTTCTTCTGAGGCGGGTCTTGCAAAACTTAGCTCCAAACGCAGGGACAGTTTCCACGAGATTGTCATTCATAGTGTCCACTGCATTGCAATCTTCTACGCACTGAAAACGGTTTTGTAGCTCGAGCTGAAAGATTTCGGAACTTTGGATTAGAGCATGAGGGGGACAGAGCGTTGACGTCATTAGACGTGACCTCTCCAACTTAACGTCTAGGTTCAGTGTGCCTCTCATCATTCGATGATCGCTGCCAGTTTTCACCCTCGCGATCACTGAGACATCACTGAACAGTTGTCGTCTGGTCGTCGTAATGAAGTCAATCTCATGTTTTATCGAACTGTCGGGGCTCAACCAGATCCACTTCCTGTGGGGCCGCTTCTAGAAAAGAGAGTTCATCATAAAGAGTCCCTTTTTCTCTATGAAGTCAGCCAGCTGCTGGCCCCTTGGATTCCGTTGTCCTATTCCAAATTTCCCTACCTTCAGCTCACCGTTCTCTCTTGTGCCTAGTTTTGCGTTGAAGTCTCCCATTAACACCGTATAGTGGGTTTTGGAGGAATGCTGTAGATATATCCTCATACATTTCCACCTCTCATCTCATCTCATCGGGATGTGCCGAGGTTAGTGCGTAAACCAGTGTGACTTTCAGCGAATACCGTTTGGTGATTCTAAGTATAAGGTACGCAACCTTTCTTGACACACTCTCAATTTTACAACGTTGTTAACGAGAGACTTGTGGATGATAAATCCGACAACTCCTTGGAAGAGATGGTCGCCCTCCCAGTGATAGAACAAGTTGACGGATTCGAGGATTACCATGTCCTCCCCCTCTCTTCGGACCTCGGACAATCCCATAATATTCCAGCGCCACTTGTCTATCTCTTCTTCCAACTCCAGGATTTTCTCGTCAGTCCTCAGGGAGCGTGCGTGATATGTTGCCAGGTCGAGTCATCTTAGTTGGCAACCGAACCTCCACCGGAGATTCTTAGCACCCTCTGCACCGCCGTTACCATGGTCGCCACCGTAGCCAGAAATAGCGGGGCTGCCGGGGACTGGGGGCCATCTATTTGTTACTATAATAATGGGGGTATATATAGTTGCCACGCTTGGCGAGCAGGTTGGCAACCGCCGTTTTTAATTGTTGTTATGCTGTTATCAGAAAGATGCTACTGCCCATCTTTTGCCTCAGTTTCCCTTTGTCGCCTCTTACGACACCCACGGGAAGAGATCTCCGTATAGGGGCGGGTAAGAATAACCACTACCCCATATCTTCCCGTGGGTGTTGTTCGTATGCTATAAATATATATTTTTTCAAGACATTACAGTATATTACTAGTGGTTGTCCCAATCAAATTGAATACTGTCATATACTGTCATCCAGAAACAAGACAAACATGCACACTTGCGTAAACAATCGACAGGTCCAGTGGAAATGAAAAGAAACTCCATTTCCGCCGCGCTCGCACTCTCGATTTGAACGTGAACAGGGTCTTTCTTAATCTATCTATACATATAATAAATTTGTAGAAAAATTGTGTGTTCACGATTCGCGCGAAAACTACTGAACAGATTTCCATGAAATTTTGTATGACTACAGTAAATGACCGTGTATAACATATAGGCAACTTTTTATCCACTTACGGAATAATAAAAAAAAGATTTATGATTTTCCTTTTTTTTTTTACTTTATTTTCATTATGGCTGCTAATGGTTATATTAGTCAGAATAACGTCTACCGGGCCAGCAGCTAGTGTATTCATGCAAATGGCCTAGAATTATCAACATAGATTTTTTACCTACTATTACTCTACTATATCAGCTGATGGTTAGTTATGTAGCCGGAGACGATATAACGCACTGACTTTAAAAAATTTAGGCACAGGTCGACTGGAACGAATAAGTGTCTAAGTGTAATAAACTACATAGTAAATTATAAATATCAAATTAAATACTTACAGCAATTGTATTTCGCATCGCGTTCAATTTAGCATCTTTACTGATTATTACTTCTTGCATTTCGTCGATTCTTGGGTCGTAAGCAGCTGAAATTTTTTTCGTTATCAGAGATGTGATTACTAATAATGCACAGCGTAAAAATCTATTACCTTACCAGTGCTGGCATCGCAAGGGCAAGACAATCCCATTGTCTGGTTGCTCTTAGTTTCCTTAGGATCGCAAATTCTATCTAAAGACCTCTAAAAAAAATAACCAAGCTTAAACAGATTATTGTTTATGGTGTATTAGCCTAGTATTTTAAATATAATATATGCGTTCTGACCTGTTTTAAATCAGTAAAAATTATCTAAAAAAGGTATATTTATACAAAATGTGTGAAAACCGGTAAGCATTCTCAAAAACTAAGGGCTATTTTTCAAAGAATTTTACCCTATATTTTATAAAGGCATTCAATTGAGATTATTGTATGTATACAATTACATAAATACATATCAACAGAACTTTACCTGACTGTACTAAATAGGTTATTTTGCAAATATGGTATTTTGAGAATATCATATTTAGCGTGAGGGGGTGTTGGTTCCGACACTCATGTACGGAAGTGAAACTTGGGTATGGCAGAAGAAACATGAAAGCAGAATAAATGCAGTTGAGATGAGAGCATTAAGAAGTATGATAGGAGTTAAACTGAGTGACAGGCTAAGAAATAGTGAGGTAAGGAAACGTTGTGGTCTGAAAGAAGATGTAGTGACAAAAATTGAGAAAGGTATGCTGAGATGGTTTGGCCATGTCGAGAGAATGAATGAAGAACGATTGACGAAAAAAGTGTATAAGGCGAGTGTGAATGAAAGTGTTGGAAGGGGTAGAGCTAGGCGGACATTTCTAGACCAAATCAGGGACGTCTTGAAAAAAGGCCAGGTCAAGAGTACCCTAAACCGTAGAGCATGTATGAAGGGAATAATGAAAGTGGACGAAGCAAAACAAGTATGTAAGGATCGTAGCAAGTGGAAAGAATTGGTCTCTGCCTACCCCTACGGGAAAGAGGCGTGATTATATGTATGTATGTATGTATGTATTTAGCGATAGAGGGGAGACTTCATAGAAAGACATTTTGAGAAATATAAAAAATAAAGTAAAAATATTTCATACCTCAGTACATCGCGACGTTTCCATCTGGAATAAATAATGGCAAAGAAAATCATTCATCAATCATTTGAGACGAGTTCATAATTATTTCACACAATTATATCAATAAAATCCATTATGTGAGGAGCGCTCCGAGGAATTGTTCGTATTAATTCTAACCGCCAAGTTTCACTATCGTAAGTTGTATGGCAAATTATCGACACCATCCCCACCATCTGGTGCTTATCGGTTCACCAACGTGGGTTCTTCTAGAAATGTCCTGCCTCTCACGACTACTTTGTGGATTTTGTCATCACTAGCGATATTTCCGGACTGCACTTGTAATTCCTCGGATGTTCATGGGCGGCGGTGGACATTTATCATCAGAAGAGCTGCATGCTCGTTTGCTCCTTCTTCTGTAAAATAAATCTACTTATGTATGAAAAAAGTTGTTGGTAAAATGTTCAAACCACAAAACAATGGAACGAAATTATAATTTTTACAGCTTCATTTGATTGACCATAGATACTTGTACTTTTATCTATTCTATGCCTTAGACAGCAAGAATCAGGCGTAGGTTTCGCAATAACTTCTTTTTAAGATACAGCCAATGCACGGCACATTAAGAAATCAAAGAAGGGTTTTAGTAATATAAAATGTGACACTTTGTAATACCTCAAAATCCTTAGGCTGCGTAATCTGCAAAATGTTGACAAATTTCAGTTTTGACTTTACAAATGTTCTAATAATTCGTAAAATAAATAAGTACCTCATCTCCTCTCGACTTTCCAGTCTGTGAAAGGATGTCATTTTTTTAAATTAATGTACAACTGTACTAATAATTAATTTCTCATTAAATGCATTGGGTATTACCTGAAAAGCTTCGGAATCAATACCCTAAAAAGAAATAAATTTAATTAAGCCATAATGTCAAGATGATATCCGAAATACGAACAGTAACATTTGTATAAATTACCTCTGTGTAACCTGATAAATCCAAATCCAAGCACTGCAAAAAATTAAAATATAAATTTAGCTTTAAAAATGTTTGTCATTAATTCTACTACTTCTACTATCATTGAGAGATGATTAAATATTTGTGACATTGCTGTAGATTCTTACAACTTCAACGGGATGATATGCGGTAATTAATATTCTTACACCGTAACTACACGGTCGTAAGATGCGACAGAGGGAAACAAATCAGGAGATGGGCAGCAGCGTCTTCATAATGACTACTAAAATTAAAAAAAAAACTGGTGTACCCGCTTGGAAAACGTGGCAAATATCCCCCTGTGAGGCAATTGATGGGAGAGGCCTAGGCAGTGGACTTTAATAGGCTGTAACGGTAAAGGTACAGTGAAGTTCGTAAAGGAGCTATATCCGCGACTTCTTGTCGCCGCTGTTGATAAGAAGGTGGGATTTTTCTCGCTCAAAGGCTCACCCATCCCGCGTGAAAATGCAGCCAGACTTCTTGGCATTATACCGTGGGGATTAGGACTGTATGATAATTTTAGATATTATTTTAAGTTTTTTGTCTAGGTAATAAAATATTATATATTTTTACCGTGTAGTGGCGGTGTAAGAATATCCACTACCCCATATCATACCGTGGGTGTCGTAAGAGGCGACAGAGCGAAACTAATCAAGAGATGGGCAGCAGCGCTTTCCTGATAACAACTCGAAATAATAAAAAACTGTGGTTGCCAACACGCATGCCAAGTGTGGCAACTATGGCAAAATCCATAATCCCCCTATGAGACAATCTATGGGGAGGCCTATGTTCAGCAGTGGACTTTTATAGGCTGTAATTGGCTGTTGTTGGTAAGGGTGATATTTTAATGTTATGTAAATAAATGATTTAATTCCGCGATATACTTACACAATTATGTGTAAGTATTATGTATTTACACAATTACTTACCATATCATCAAGCTCCTTATTGGCGGCTTTTATAGCTGCGTGCTGAAACGTATTTATTTAATTAAATTAAAAATGTCGCTCAATGTAATAAATAATGATATTTTCTGTATACTAACGGCGTTCGCTATTTCGATTTTCTGATCAGGTGTTAGATCAAGGTGATCATAAGCCACCAGTAGTTGTTCAAATTCTTCAATTTTGCGCCTCAAACGATTAATCTCGGCATTTTTTGCCCCCATTAATGTGTTCACTATCACGTCAGTGGGAATGTACTTCTTCGGTCGACAAATCTCATTATTCCGTTTTATAATTTCTACCAAATGATCACTTTTGTCTGAACAAAAATGTGACCACGCCCTTGCATCAGTACACGATGCATATGCTTTCAGTTTTCCTTCATTTCTTCCTGGTAAATCTAAAAGGTCGTATTCATTGAATACGCGTTCTCTTTTTGTTATGAACGACATCACGAAACTTTGTGCGTTTTCTCTTTAGGTGTGCATTCAATAAAACATACATGTATGTGCCTTATTTTCGCTTGCCATTTTATAAGTAACGATAAAATTTAATTTAAATTATTTAATAAAACCGTATAGTTAAATGTTAAAACGAATATCAAATACATTAAATATTTTGAACTATCAATCAATCGAGAGGGAATGTTGTCTACAAATCGAATGTCATTATTTGAAAATGTTGACTTTGTTGACATAAATACTCAAGGAGCATATAAGACTAGGTAAAACTTAACTTTTTACTTAAATATTTTAAAAATATTAGCCTCGAATCATAGATTATATACTTCTGAAATCCCTAAGTAAATACCACTGGGTAGGACAAAAATTAGTTTTATACTTGGACGAATTATCACACTCGAATTCTATTTAGTCATATAGAGAAAGATACATGATCACTAGATTGACACAGATATAAGAGTGGCAACATCATATTATGATGCCTAGGTACGAATAAAAGAAATAGTTAATTTTAGTTTGGCAATGCAATTAATTAAAATATATATAAATATGTAATGCTCAAAGATATAAAACGCTCACGGATCGAAAACACAGTTTAAAACTCGACGTTATTGCTTTAAAACATCACGATCGCGAAATTCATGTTATGGCAAAAAGAGAAAGACCAGAAAGTGAAATTTGTTTTTCACGATATTTGACACAAATGAAGAAAAGCCAAGACGCATTCTGACTGAGCAGTAAAAAAATAAAACGGGAAGTAAGTAATAAATATTCTAATGAGTTTTTAAATGTATTTATTGCGAAAAAAATTGATTGGACATTAACACGAGGGAAGATAAATCGGAATTAGCTAGTAAATTCTCATTATAAATAGCTCCGAATAGTTTATAAAGAATATAAATATCGGCGGCTTTGGCTAGTATTTAAGTAACCCTTGTCAAAAATTATTCCCATTATTTCTTTAATTACCAAAAATTTCGAGACGCATATTACATACCACTGTACGTCGTATTCTGTATCATGGTTGGTGGTGCATTTGCTCCTTTCCTAACATTTCCGAACACATCATAGTTTTTGTTAATTGCTACGACGCGTTGTGGTCGCATATCAGCCAGCGTGAAATAGCAGCTTAACGCTGCTGTGTTTCGTATGGTGAGTGTAGAGAACCGGAGACCGTTTTTACTGGAAACGAGGCATTCCATCTCAGTCCTGATGGGTGACAACGCATCTGCATTTTGATTCGTAATCGAGGATAGATGTAGATATCTATGGGTTACAGCAACCACTTACCATCAGGTGGACTGAGTGCTCGTTTGTCACCCTTATCCTATAAAAAATATATAAAAGCCATGACGCGAAGATACGTGGTATTTCTGTGTCGGCCACAACACGTCATGAGCGTTTTTATAAGTGCCATAAAATGAATTTCGCGTTGTAGATGTAGACATTTTAAACAGTTTTTTCGGTCAATGAGCGTTTTCGTTCTATCTGAAAGTGACGGTAATTCTATTGCGAATTCAATGGTATGGGGTTGCCTAAACAAAATTTGATCAGACTCGTAATTCATTTTGATTAGACGTTCTAGAGTTGCTCCTGTAATCACCCTTCAAAACCTTTGGGTAATTTAACATGGCTTAAACCGACAATCAATTATTATTGTCGTAATGATCGATTCCGAAGTGACTTACAAGCATAAAGGTTAATTTAGTGCAGTAAACTCCTCACTGTTTGATCGCTCACCAAGATTTGTTCCGCCTGCAACTTCAAAACCAATTGCCCAGCTGATGTTGCGGGCTGTCTTCACGTCGTGATTTATAGAAATCCGTCTTGCCATGCAGAGGTAACCTGCCTATTCCCAGGTACATCGCCAGTGTCCTGGTAGCAAGACCATAATCTTGTTAATAGCATCAGCAACATTGTGCTGGATCTCACCCGCTTTCATCATGTCTATTGCTTTCAACATAATATCTTCTCTAATTAAATAATAAAATTCCATTATACAGAAAAAAGCCACTGGAATTAAATCAAATAACAAAGTTGTAAAAAAATCGAAATTTCCTTTAAAATCAATTTCTTCATATGAAACAGAAACAGAAACAGAAACAGAAACTTTTTTATTCAATATAGATTATAAATAATACTTATTGAAAGTCACTCTTTTGTTTGATTACCACTGGTTCGGAAAAAACCTCTGTCCTGGGAAGAACCAGCAAGAAACCCAGCGGGACTTTTTTTTTTAAATAACAGCTTACAATCATGATGTTACACAAATTAACAACACAACAAATTAGAAATAGCTTGGTAGCGATCACCTCATTTCCAGGGGTTATTATCATCCATAAATTCCTTAATATTATAATAACCCTTTTTATACAAACTTAGTTTAATAAAGTTTTTGAACTTTGAACAGGTCAAACTTTGTATATTTTCTGGAATTTTGTTGTAAAAGCGTATACATCGCCCCAAGAATGAATTACTGACTCGATGGAGTCGAGTAACTGGTACTACTAGCTTGTGTCTGTTCCTAGTATTTACAGAATGAATATCACTTATTTTTGTAAAACTACTTTTATTTTTGTGTACGTACATTACATTTTCATAAATGTATTGAGAGGCCAAAGTTAATATATTAATTTCCTTAAATTTTTGTCGCAGCGACTCTTTAGGCTTTAAATCATAAATTGCTCTTATGGCCCTCTTCTGCAAAACAAATATAATTTCAGTGTCAGCTGCGTGTCCCCATAGCAAAATACCATACGACATTATGCTATGGAAGTAGCTGAAGTAAACTAGTCTAGCTGTTTCAACACTGGTTAAACTTCTAATCTTTTTTACAGCATATGCTGCAGAACTAAGTCTGCTTGCTAGTTTTGATATATGGGGGCTCCATTGAAGCTTCGCGTCTAGTGTGATTCCAAGAAAAATGGTGGTATCTACAAGACTCAGTTTCTCCCCATTTAAAATTACATTAGTATTTAATTGTTTGACATTTGGAGTCACGAATTTCATACATTTTGTTTTAGTGCCATTTAAATGCAAATTATTAACATCGAACCAATTTACTAATTTAGAGATAGCATTATTTACTTCGTCATATTTTAGTAACTGTCGACTTAATTTGAAAATTAAAGAAGTGTCATCTGCAAATAATACTATATCATGGTTATCCCCTACTATGTAAGGTAAGTCATTAATGTATACAAGAAACAGAAAGGGGCCGAGAATTGAGCCTTGAGGCACGCCCATTTGTACCATCGATCCGGAAGAGCTCATATTGTTAATGACAACTTTTTGCGTTCTCTTACTTAAATATGAAATAATTAATTTAAGGGCATCACTTCTTACACCGTAGTGTTGAAGTTTCCTGATTAATGTTTCATGGTGAACACAATCGAAGGCCTTGGATAGGTCACAAAATATACCCAAAGCATCCTGTGAATTCTCCCATGCATTAAAGATATATTTAATCAGCTCAACACCGGCATCAGTTGTCGAGCGACCCCTTGTGAAACCAAATTGATTTTTATGAAGTAAATTATTTATATTAAAAAAATTTAACATTTGAACAAGAACAATTTTTTCAAAAATCTTACTAAGTGTTGGTAGTACAGAAATAGGTCTAAAATTGGCGGGGTCTAATGTACTACCAGATTTAAATAAAGGTATTACTTTACTATGCTTCATTAAATCAGGAAACACACCAGATTCGATACTAGTATAAAAAATAATAGCTAAATGAGGCGCGATTGTATCTATTATAGACGCAATAACTTTAACGGAAATCCCCCACAGATCCGCAGTTTTCTTAACATCAATAGTTTTAAAATATTTTACAATATCTTTTGATGACACTTTATGAAATGTAAAATTCTTTGTACACACATTTACATTTTGTTTAAGTAATGATTCGGCGACGGCAGGAGAAGAATTCAGTGACTTAGTGGTCAAGATCGGAATATCAGTAAAATATTTCTCAAAAACCATTGCTACGTCCTGATCTGATACAGTTAATTTGTTGTTAACACTTAACTGGTAATTTGAATTGCGAGAGTTGATCTTACCAGTTTCGCTATTAATTATACTCCATGTCATTTTAATTTTATTGGAAGCCGTCTTAATTTTGTTGCTCAAATGCAAAGACTTGGCTATGGAGCACACTCTTTTAAATATTTTTGAATATTTTTTTACATATTCCCTAAATTCGACGCTATGATTATATGACCTTTCATGGTAAAGATCATATAACCTATGCCTGCTCTTATGGACTCCTACTGTCGCCCATTCATTGAATGACATCCGACTGTTCAAGGAGAATGACACAAAGAGTTAATGCAATATTAACGCCACGGTCAGTTTTTTCAGTAATAAGTATATACAGGGTTATTTTTCAAAGAGTAGCCAAATTTTAAACTTAAGTTCAAATATATAAATAATGATATACCGTTAATGCAGTTTTTAAAATTACGGGTAAATAAGGCTTCTGCTTTTATTTGAAATTATTGCAAATTTAATGTGATTTATGGGCAACAACGTTTTTGCTTACCGATCAACCCTTACGAATGTGTGCGTGCGCAGTAAAATCAGTTAAAATAATCCATTACCATGCATTTTGAAATTAAAAGATAAAAAGGGGAAAATATTTAAGATTTTTTAATTAATTTTTATTTACCATTTGCGTGTATTACTTATTCTGAACCTTCTCCGCAAATTTGGCTGGCTATTACAAAATAACCCTGTATAGTTAAAGTACTTACTTTTACTGTTACTATTAGATACCTTACCAAATATGTTTCTTCACTCAAATAACGACTAAAGTAAAACTCAAAACAGATACCGTAACACTAAGGATGCAATTTCCCTAACAATTCGTCGTTGACGCCGCAAAGGAGTGAACCTGAATTTTTCACAAAATTACAAGAGAGCAAGAAAACATTAATTATTCCTGGTCATTTAATATACTTTATTATTTACAATGAAAGATATCACTTCGAAAGGAGGCTGCGAAAGTTAACCGCGTGAGATCTTTCCAAATATAAAATAATTTACGCCTGTAATAACGTACGATAAGTACGTCGTCTCATGAAATTGTATTTTTATTAAACGAAGATTACAATAACATTTTACGTATTACCTACTTAACTGCACTTATTTAGTACTTATAAAATCCCACCAATAACATAAATGTGAAAGGGAGTCCAAGTTCGATATAAACGACTTTTAAAGTTGTCGGATTCGCCGATAAAAGAGTTAAGGTCTGAACGGGCTCCAATACTAATAGCGAGTCAACTTCGTTGTTATACCGCAAAATACCTGCAAGGCTGTTGTCGCTAAAAATATGCAAGGGTGGTCAGAAAAACATTCCTTAGATAAAATATATCATAACATTAAATTTTATCGGTATTCCTCGTAATAACTTATTTTACTATACAAAAATACAAAGTAATTACTACTGCACAAAACTTGTTGCGTCCCACAGCTTTACCTGATTTGTCGTGATGGAAACAAAGACTTGTGCTTGTGCAGGTAGGTTACCTACCTAATTTTACTATATTTTACTTATATAACAGTATCTCAGGTATTCCACTTAAAATATTGGGTAGGGGGTTGAACAGGATAAATAAAACGGCTTAAAATTATACGTTAGTTCTGTTCTGTTTATTCAACGCACGCCGCCTCGTTACAGATGTGTACGGGACAAATATTTACTACGGCATTTATTATCGGTTTTTTTTTAGTTGTCTTTTGTTGATTTAATGAAATAATGAATTCTCATCGTTACATATAATTCAATTGAAAATCGTGATGGAAAGCATCACATGGTTGTAAGATTTCAATTTTACTTAAGGCGTATAATCATTTTCAAACAAGTTTATTAAATAATAAAAATAATACCGAGTAATATCGTGTTGCTGGGTGAATACCAAATGCGTGCAACTGATTCCTTGTACGTTACATTCCTAAATGAGCGTACCGGTACGCAAGCGAAGTGAAGGCGACCTACCGACCGACTACCGTAGACGTTGCGGGCACGGGCAGGCCTCTGTCACTCTTGCTTCCTGCGTGAAATAATTACCTACAATGGCGAGCTGCCCCAGGGGTAGATCGCAGTCGGGGCTAGCGCGCTCTAGGCGATTGAATGTTAAAGTTTTTTTAACGCTGTTTACGTAAATATTTTTTTGTAAATATACTTGTTGAAACACTCGTCGAAATAGTTTTTGTTTAGTGTTAAGTTATTAATTTAAGAATAATCTAATATATAAAATTCTCGTGTCGCGGTGTTTGTTACCAAACTCCTCCGAAAAGGCTGAACCGATTTTTATAAAATTTTGTGTGCATATCGAGTAGGTCTGAGAATCGACCAACATCTATTTTTCAAACCCCTAAATGATAAGGGTGACTCACGCCTAAATATTTATTTTCTATTTTTTTGACAAAATTTTTATTTTTCTTTTATTATGATTTAACATTGAAAAATAGATAAAACATAAAATTTTCACTCTTCCACGATCAACCCCCGTTTTTTAATCACAATTTTTAAAACTAAAAAATATTTCCTATACTTGTTGAAATACTCGTCGAAATTAAATTAAATTAAAATTAAATAATTGTAGGATAAAATAGTTGAAAAAGTTTTAATGTAATTTAAGAATAATATATATGTATACTAGCCGTTCCTCTCATATTTCTGTTAGGAATCGTATTTCGGGTTTATTTGTTGTTTACGCTGTCTACCTATACAAACCAAGCATCGCGATTCCCGACGAATGGCCTTGCAAGTTACATGCGTTGGGCATCACAGAACTCACATAGTAGATAGTACGGTCGATTATAGTCAGGATAGGTACTTATCTAAGTAACTTACCATTTCATAATGTATTTTTTCGGGGGGGGGGGGGGGGGGGGGGCTTCGCTCTCCATCATAGCGCGCCCCATCGTTTCTAGTCGCCGAGATAACTTACTATTAGTTTTATTACACATATGGCATAGGATTGTAGATGAGATTAAGATGCACAACGTTCGTGGAATTGCTATGAAGCATGGCGCCCAAATCTAAAAGCTTTTATCGCCGAAGTCGCTAGGAGTAATAATGTCCTGTACGTCTGTAACGTCTCGAAGTGGGTTTTAAACTTCATCACAAAATTCCATTACATTCATACATAGTTGTCAAGCTTAAATAAAGCTTTGTGACAAGAGCAAGCGGTTATGAACGCAAACTGCAAATGTCATATTTTCATTTATTCGTCAGTTTTTACACGTCAAAATTGTTTGTTACAACACTCGTATGGATAAAGATTAATAAAATACACACAGCTATACGATTTCAATGAATTACATTAATGAAGGAAAAATCATTTTGTTATCTCGTAACGAAGGGAAATTAAAATCTTATGATTCCTGTTTTGATATAAGAGCATGGAGTCATGATATAAGAGATCGTGATCACTACTTAAGGGAATGGATGAAGTGCAATATGCCTACGTGCATCTTTTCTGTGTCTACTTTAAACAATTTATTAAAATCAATGGCTTGCAGGCACTTCAGCCGTGTAAGTAAAGTTATTATTAATTTTGTACTTGTTTATCATTCATTCTTCATTAATCATTAAAACTTAAATTTATTTCACAACTAGCTAACACCACGATGTCATCCAGATTGTAAGTCCAGGAAGCTCCTTGAAAGTATATGCACATCATGTCAAGCTATGAAAGAATGCTTAAAAAATAATGAAAATTTCGAAAAATATCTTGAAGAGGTATATTATTTATTTTAAATAAAATTCGAAAATATTTTAAAAATGCAAAATCATGTATTTAAATTTTAACTTGTTTAGGAAGAACTAGAAACAGGTCATTGGCCATGCGATAAATGCCTAAGCGTTTTGAAGAGTATAAAAATGTTTTGGAAAGTAATATTAGATAAAATATTAAGAGTAAATATTCCAAAAACAGAAGTTATTTCAGAAGATCATTCAAATGTAAGGGAAGTTATTCATGGTGTAGCCAAAGATTGGCAAAAGGAAATTTTAGAACAGACTACATTTGTGAAAAACTTTATTTCACCAATAACTAACAACAATGTTTTGTTGAAACAAGTTAAAAGTGCAAAAACTGACGCAAATATGTCAAGTTCACAAAACCAAATTCAAAACTGTATAAATACGCCAGCCAACCTAAGTTTTGAATCAAAAAGTAGTGAATCCAAGTGTAACTGCAGGTTACTAAATAAAAATAGCGGCTGTACGTTGACAAGTGCCGTGAAGTTATCGGACACTGGATGTGACCCTCTTAATATAAGTTATAATGAGAAACTTAAGTCGTACAAATATTATTTCAAAAAACTACAGGAACAATTACAAACACAAGTTATGGAAGTAAAAGAGTTGAAAAAGGAGAATGATGCTCTTAAATACAAACTTCAAGAAATGCGCAAAAAGCCTTCACTTAAGACACTTTACGCTCCTACAGCTTTAAGCCCTATTTGTGATGTAAATCAAGTGCTTGAACCTTTTGAACCGTGTTCTGAAGAAAACCTTAATGCCGATTCAACGAAAGAGACTAATTCGGAAGTTATAATAACTTTAAAGAACTGTAAAAATGAGGTGAAGTATATATGGGATATAGTTATATGTATGTATAATAACTAGCAGTCGTAAGACTGTCAGAAGTGAAAACTTCTTAGCTTCATAAACACACACACACACACACACACACACACACACGCACGCACACGCACACGCACACACACGCACGCACACGCACGCACGCACGCACACGCACACACACGCACACACACACACACATACATACATACATATATATATATATATATATATATATATATATATATATATATATATATATATATATATATATATATATATATATATATCTATATATATATCTATACTCAGATATATATCTGAGCGTGATGGTCACGCGAGTTCAATGCTTTTTTCCCCATCCCAAAAGTGCTATATATTATATTTATATACACACTTCTGTATAAGCGTATCTGAGCGTGTCGGTCACGCGAGTTCAGTGCTTTTTCCTTATCCCAAAAGTGACCAACGTGCCTAAATAAGTTTTCACTTCAATTAAGTGCTCTCTGCCGCTACTGTCACAGCCTGACTTTCATAGTCCAAATGAATCCAATAGTAGAGCACTTCACTACTACGTCTTCGTCTTCTTCTTCATCAGCCCGTAGTTGTCCACTGCTGCGCATAGGCCACTCCCGTAGTAGGGAGGTAAGTAGTTTGACGACTGGATATTGTATGTCTGGCGTAAACGACAATACCCAGTGTACAAAGACACAAATTGTCGGTGTATAGGTTTGGACATGTTAAGATTGTCCCCATGTCTGTGACTTTTTAAATACAAAAAAAGTGAGAAAAGAACTCACAGTCCACCCCAGCCTATCAATAACTGACTCTCTTTACTTACAACTACAACTTACCCTTTTTACCTAGTCGTTTTCATTAGAGGCCAGTGCAATTATTTTATATTTTTAAGGTTTAATTTATGAGCCACGCTGCAGGCAGCACGAATGGATGGAATCGACTGGAGAACGTCACAGTATTTTCACGTAATTTAAACAATTCCTAATTTGGTATGGTGTTGACAAGAACCGGAGTAAAAATGGTTTTAACGGGAAAGAGAGATTCTATCTTAGACCTCAGGCGTGTGTGCCTTCACCGCAAATTATGCGATAAATCAGCACCTAAAATTGCAATTAATAACTTTATCAACTTCAACAATGTGAGCGGGGCCAAATTTACGGCGAGCGCTAAGCCCCTGGACTATCCCGTCTCTTTTTTGACGGATTGTATGTAACAAAACTATAATTAAATTAAAATTATTTCAAAGTCTACTAACAAAATTCCTTTTTATATGCAGAATTTCAAACATGTGTGTATGTTACAAGTTGTTCATAAAACTAATATGCCTACGGATGAATTTACTGCAGAAGAACAGGGTTGTTTTAAGGAAAAACAGGATCCTATCGTTTTGCTTAACAAAGGTGAAATTAAAAAAAAATCCAATTCGTGTTTTTGAGCTATTTTGAATGAACTTTTTTCATCATTGTATTTTATTTATAGTACAAAAAACATTTGGAAATATAGTTCAAAAAGAATTGATTAATGCTAATAAAAAGCAAAACTCAGCGAAAACACAAGATGTGGATGCTACTTTAATAAGAAATACAAACTGTTGCAAGTTAGCCCCATCTCATACTACTACATCATCGTGTTGGTCAAATCATTCAGAAACAGACCATGTAAGTTATTTCTATTACCTTTTAAGTTCTTTTGGTGAAACTTTTATTAAAATGAAAACTTTTGTTTTTATTTAGGTAATAAAACGTGACGTTAGAAGTAAAAATACAAAGAAGTGTTAAAATAACGAGTATATTGTGAATAAAATAAAATTAAAAAAAAAACTTGAAATAAAATATCTCCTTTTAATTCACAAACCGAAACATGATATTTAATAAGCGATCATAAATAAGTTTTTTTGCATCATTTGCAAAAACAAAATCTAAGTGATTAAATGCTTTTAAGGGTACTCGAAACTTTCCAACGGCAGCTGGCAACTCTATCATCAACTTTTCAACATCATCTGGTGTAGATAACCAGTCGTTGTCAGCATAATGAAGAAATACCGGTGTTGTAATGGCGGTTAAGTTATATTCTGGTGGGCTTCCATGTCCATAAGTCAGCAGATTTGTCAACCATCCATGATTAAATTGAAGAAATTTACTGGATTTATATAACTGACCAAAATGAACTATCTGCCTGGTCGACGCACCAGCAGGCGTGTGACCAAGAACGACTGGCAGCATTGTCTGAAAAGTTTATTTAAAATGTGATTAACTTCATTATTTAAGGGGTAAAATGATTCATAAATATTATAAATTTTTTTAATATTACTCTAACGTTAATGTACTTTATAATATACATTACACCGTCTAAATTCATATGGATTTTAAGATCAATCGGAGAGCGATTGGACCTAATAATAATGATAAAATTTTTCTAAAACTAGCTGGCCAGCCTGACTTAGTTCTGCTCTTTCCGACCACCCTTTGTCCTTTAAAAAACCTATAATTTAAATAAAAAAATTGAGGGTCACTTATCGTAATAAAAATATATCCTTTTTTATATAGGATATGGTCACAAACGAGCACACAGTCCACCTGATGGTAAGTGGTTGCTGTGGCCCATAGACATCTACATCTATCCTAGTTTGCGAATCAAAATGCAGATGCGTTGTCACCCGTGAGGACTAAGATGGCATGCCTCTATTTCAGTAAAAAGGATCTCCAGTTCTCTAGACTCACCATACGAAACACACCAGTATATACTGCTATTTTACGCTGGTATTTTGTGAGAGCGTGGTCCTTCCCCGGTCGAGCCGACCCATTCGTGCTACAACTGTACCAGTAATATAGCTGCAGCACGGCTCTACCGTGTATAAAATATCCACTCTTTCAAGTTTGAGCAAGCAATACACATTTACAAAATTTCATTAAAATTGGGTGAGTGGTTTAGGAGTTCAACGCGGACAAGTAATGTGACACGTAATTTTTTTAATATAAATATAGATATTTAATTTTAATTTGACACTAAGTCACTGTTTAAATTACATGTAAATGTTTTCTTTTGTCGGCTTTTAAACAGTACGTAGTAAATTACTAATAACTTTATTACTAATAACTAATTACTATATATATATACTAATATTTTCACACAGAATTTAAAGCTTTTTAAGACTGTGTACCAACCTAATATAGCTAGTATATTAGGTGTTCTGTGCCGTGTACAGATGGTGCACAAATCTCCATACAGTGCAGCGCACATATGATCTGTTGTGGTATCGTTGTTTTTGCATGGCTTGCCGGAGTATGTTGATGAGTATTGGCATAAATGTTGACTGGACGTAGTAAAATATTAAATTTCTTACTCCAATGTGATGATAAAATAGGTACAGACTATAAAAGTAATTTAAAATTTAAAGTTTTGTACTACCGACTTCAATATTAATAAAATTATTAAGAATTGGTCAGACCGTGATCAAATTTATATGGGACTACATGAGAAGCACCAGCTTTCAAATAAAAAAAGAATCATCGAAATCGGTTCACCCAGAAAAAAGTTATTAGGTAACACAAATAAAAAAACATACAGTCGAATTGAGTACCGTCTCCTTTTTGAAGTCGGTAGATAAAAGAGACAAAGAGCCCCTAGAAATATATAAAACATACTCTTTATTTAAACAGATGATATGAACCAAGCAACTGCATTAACTCATCTTTCATTCGTTACTTCATTCGTTTCTTTCTGGTAAAAATACTAACATCATTCAGCTGTTCGTTATTAAATCCACATATAAGAAACAAAAGATTTTTGCACAGTATTTGTGTCGCAGCTTCCTCTATACATAGTAATTCTCCAGCTAGTTCATTCACTTTTCCGTTGGGTAAAAACTCATTAGCACCCAATAATTTCAGAACTCGCTAGAAAAAAAGACAATCTATTATTAATATTGTTATATTATGACTCTTAACGCAAACGTTCAGTAGAGCACCCACTGAATGTTTGCGTTAAGAGTTTATTTATTTAAACTAGCAAGCAGACTAAACTTACTGTAAGAACTTAGAAATCTGACTAGGGTTGGAAGATATTTTATTTATTTTCATAGAGTAATAAATGGTACGTGGTTATGGAGAAAAGCGAGTATTTTTGTTTTTCGGATGAGGGTCATAAGAGCAATGTATGAATAAAAACCCAATTTAAAAATAAAATTCAATATCAAAACATTTTATTCAAAAATAGCCTTTACAAAGCACTTTTGAAGGTCAAAAAAGCTACGCCATCGCCTAAACGTGTCTCTATTACTGCTACTACTTCTATTATTATGACTTAGCGAATTTAAAAAAATTAACATAAAATTCTTAGCTTCTCTTAAAATTAGTTTTATTAGAATGATATACATTTTGCAAACACTATAGTACGTGAGGATAATATGGTCATCCGGTTAATATGATCACTTTCTTATAACTCCAAAACTACTGCCTTGTTTGCATGGATGGTTCTATGATACCATAGCTCTTCATCAGTCAATCAAATAATAAAGGGTCAAAAAGTCACTGCTTTATCGACGCCATTTTGCCAGTTGATATTGTAGTAAATATTTTAGTCGATTTTTGTATTGTGTAGTGTAGTTAGTTTTTTTTAAGTTGTTTTTTTAATAGGATAGGGTGACAAACGAACACACAGTCCACCTGATGGTGAATGGTTGCTGTAACCCATAGACAACTTCATTTATACTCAATAAAGAATCAAAATGCAGATGTGTTGTCACCCGTGAGGACTAAGATGGAATGCCTCTTTTCCAGTAAAATAGGTCTCCGGTTCTCTACACTCACCATACGAAACACAGCAGTGTCAAGCTGCCATTTTACCCTGGTATTCTGTGAGAGCGTGGTCCTTCTCCGGTCGAGCCGACCCATTAGTGCTCCAACTATACTACTAATATAGCTGCAGCGTAGCTCTACCACGATTTTTCGAAGTGTTCCTAATTATTGCCAAAGCTTATTTGCTATTTTTTTCTCAATATATTCGTAATAGTATTACGACTTTGTGTTTTTGTCTATGTCCTCCTAATTTTGGTTTTATAGGGACATAAACTTCGATCAACAATACCAACTGTAGATCTTGTACCTTAAGAAGACGTATACTTAGATTACTGTCTATCACCTAGTTTATTTTTTATTAAACAAAGACAATCAACAATAGTAATTAACACATGATAGTTAATATATAATGTCTTTTATAAGCTCTAACTTCACAGAACACCTAATATAGCGAAATAGGTGTTCTGTGTCTAACTTGTATAAGCTCTTTGTAAAATAATTCTCGTGAATAATTGTACAATTTCCTTTTTTTGCCTATTTCCTTTAATGTTAGTTACCGATCGAGCGTATAAATTATTCTTACAAAATAATAAAATATTAGCTAGCTCAAGTGAGTTGTCTTCAGCCCACGGTCACGGTTCTCCGAACGATATTATCAAAGGGATGTTCCTCGAGTCTGTAAAGTCTTGTGGATTATTTAGAGACGATGGCGGTAGACCCGACGGTATAACTTTTGTCCCTTAGGGGAGAGGTAAAACCCTAGTGTAGGATGCTAGTGAAACTTTTGTTACGTGTAGTATCTCGCTAGTAATTCAGTTTAAATAGTAAGCCCTCTCAGAAAAGAGAGGAGGCCTGTGGGACGTTTAGAGGCTGTTACATTTTCTTAGTTAATTTTTTTTTATAGGATACATCTTATGTTTAATAAAAAAATAACCTTTTATAGATAGGCCCTGCAAATTTTCTCTGATTTGTTGTAAAGGCGTTTATATTGCCCATGAATGAATTACTGAATCTTTCAAGTCGAGAAACTAGTATTAATAACTTGTGCTTGTTTTTAGTATTTTCAAAATGTACCATGTCTAGAAGTAAGTCTGGTTGCTAGTTTGGGGTACGCCCCGTTGAAGCTAAGCGTCCAGAGTAATTTCAATTAAAAACGGTGGTATCTACAAGACCCTACTCTTCTCCATGTGCATCACTATTTTTTTTTTCATGTAAAATACTCTAAGAGACCAAAGTTAAATATTCATTTCAATGCAATATAATTGCGTACCTTATACTCAGAATCACCAAACGGTATTCGCTGAAGGTCATACAGGTTTACGCACCAACCTCGGCACACCCCGATCAGGAGGTGGAGGAAATGTATGAGGATATCTCTAGAGCCATGCATTCCTCCAAAACCCAATATACGGTGTTAATGGGAGACTTCAATGCAAAACTAGGCACAAGAGAGAACGGTGAGCTGAAAGTGGGGAAATTTGGAATAGGGCAACGGAACCCAAGGGGCCAGCAGTTGGCCGACTTCATGGAGAAAGAGGGACTCTTTATGATGAACTCTTTCTTCCAGAAGCGGCCCCACAGGAAGTGGACCTGGTCGAGCCCCGACGGTTCGACAAAAAATGAGATTGACTTCATTATGACGACCAGGCGACAACTGTTCAGTGATGTCTCAGTGATCGCGAGGGTGAAAACCGGCAGCGATCACCGAATGGTTAGAGGCACACTGAACCTAAACGTTAAGTTGGAGAGGTCTCGTCTAATGAAGTCAACGCTCCGTCCCCCTCGTGCTCTAATCCAAAGTCCCGAAACCTTTCAGCTCGAGTTGCAAAACCGTTTTCAGTGCCTAGAAGACTGCAATGAAGTGGACGATTTGAATGACAAGCTCGTGGAAACTGTCCATGCGGTCGGAGCTAAGTTCTGCAAGACCCGCCGCAGAAGAACACAAAAACTCTCCGATCACACTCTTAATCTCATGGCTGTTAGAGGGGAGATGAAGCAACATTCTTCAACAGATTTGACAGCATACAGGCAACTGAACAGACAGATCTCCAAATGCATGCGGCGGGACTTACGCAACTTCAATACAGCTCGTATTGAAGAAGCGATCGAGCGGAACCAAGGCTCCAAAGTCTTTGCCATAGATCTGTCTGCCAGAAAGAGCCAACTGTCAAAGCTGAAGACCGAGTGTGGCAGCATCGTTTCCGGGGCACCTGAGGTTTTGAGTGAGATTGAGAGGTTCTATGGGCAGCTGTACACGTCATCGTTGGAGCCACACGCAAGTGTGAGTAACGATCCAAGAGCGAGTCTTATCCGACATTATTCCGATGATATCCCGGACGTCAGTCTGAGCGAGATTAGAATGGCTCTCCAGCACCTTAAAAACGGCAAGGCCCCAGGCCAGGATGGAATTACAGCGGAGCTTCTGAAAGCGGGTGGAAAACCGGTACTTGAAGTCCTTCAGAAGCTCTTTAATTCCGTCCTCCATGGTGGCATTACACCGGAGGCGTGGAGCAGAAGTGCGGTGGTCTTGTTCTTCAAGAAAGGCGACAACGCTCTCTTGAAGAACTACAGACCGATTTCCCTTCTGAGCCGCGTCTACGTGCTGTTTTCGAGAGTCATTACGAATCGTCTCGCGCGCAGACTTGACGACTTCCAGCCTCCCGAACAAGCCGGTTTCCGAAAGGGCTTTAGCACCATAGACCACATACATACCCTTCGGCAAATTGTACAGAAGTCCGAGGAGTACAATTTGCCACTATGTCTGGCGTATGTGGACTATGAGAAAGCCTTTGATTCCGTCGAAATTTGGGCGGTGCTGCAGTCCCTTCAGCGATGCCAAGTTGACTGTCGGTATATCGAAGTGTTGAAGTGCTTGTACAGTAGGGCTACGATGGCTATCCGAGTACAGAACCAGAGTACGAAACCTATCCAATTGCAGAGAGGTGTAAGACAGGGTGACGTCATATCCCCGAAACTCTTCACCGCTGCATTGGAAGATGTTTTCAAGCTTCTGGACTGGAAAGGATACGGTATTAACATCAATGGCGAGTACATCACTCACCTTCGATTTGCCGACGATATAGTCCTTATGGCAGAATCGCTGGAGGACCTAAGCACTATGCTCAATGACCTCAATAGTGTTTCCCAACGGATAGGTCTTAAGATGAACATGGACAAAACAAAGATCATGTTTAATGTCCATGTCACACCTATGCTGGTAGTTGTTGGGAACACTAAGCTCGAAGTTGTTGACGAGTATGTTTACCTGGGACAAATAGTCCGACTAGGTAAGTCCAACTTCGACCGAGAGGTCAATCGACGGATTCAACTCGGTTGGGCAGCGTTCGGGAAATTACGGCACATCTTCTCGTCAGGTATACCTCAAAACTTGAAAACGAGACTGTACACCCAGTGCGTGTTGCCAGTGATGACATACGGAACTGAGACGTGGTCCTTCACTGCTGGCCGGATGAGAAAGCTCAAGGTCGCTCAGCGAGCTATGGAGAGGGCTATGCTCGGAGTTTCTCTGCGTGATAAACTCAGAAATGAGGATATCCGCAGTAGAACCAGAGTGACCGACATAGCCCAACGGATTAGTAAGCTGAAGTGGCAATGGGCCGGCCATATAGCTCGAAGAACCGACAACCGATGGGGAAGAAAGGTTCTCGAGTGGCAGCCTCGTACCGGCAGGCGAAGTGTAGGGCGTCCCCCCACTAGATGGAGTGACGACCTGGTAAGATTTGCAGGAAGTCGATGGATGCAGGTGGCTCGGGACCGTGCTTTGTGGCATTCTTTGGGGGAGGCCTATGTTCAGCAGTGGACTTGTGAAGGGCTGTAATGATGATGATGATGATGATAATAGAGGCAGCTTTATTCACTTCGTTATATTTTGCTCGAGGTAGGGAAAATTAATGAAGTTTCGTCATCAGAAAATATAATATTGTGATTATCTTTTAGAGTATTTATAAACAAGCTAGTTTATAAATACTCTACGGGTTAAGGTAAGGTCTTCCCGCTGGTAAGCCCTGAGGAAAACCCATTGATAGGTACTACTGACATTAGTGTAGGTATTATATAAATATTTCTAAAATTTGCGGGAT